GAGAGAGAGAGAGAGAGAGAGAGAGAGAGAGAGAGAGAGAGAGAGAGAGAGAGAGAGAGAGAGAGAAGGTTATGCAATTTGTCAGAAAGACAAAGGTTACATAATTTGTTGTGCACTCGATTACCCCTTTCATTGAACAATAGGTTGCAGTCACACACATATAATGTAGAATTACTTTCCACTTTCCTTTTTTTGCTTAATATGATGCAAAGTTTTTTAACTTGTTATCTTTTACACATTCCATTTCTCCTTGTATTGAGCAGTAGGTTACATTCACATGCATATAATGTAGAATCATTTACCACTTTCCATTTTTTGCTTAATATGATTGTAATTTTTTTATCTTTTTACACATTTCTGATTTTTTTTTTGCATTGTCTCAGGATGTGCTAGTTACGAGTAATTACTTGTCAAACTTCAGTACACATGAGAAGAGGCATGACTTCATGATAGATACTTCGATATCTCAATCACATCTTATTGATGTGGAAAGAGAGCTGGAACCTTGGACCCCTGATAATGATGATCCTCTGTGTCCTGATTTAGAGAATACATTTGATAACACATGGAACAGGTGATACTATAGGTTTATTTACATATGATAGTGTTAACTTGCTAGTTCATAATGTCTCTTCCAGAAACTAATCAAGAATGAATATTAAATCATCCAGTCACATATTTCACTGGTTCACTTGGGTTGGTGTCTGGGCTGCTAAAGGACTGGGCCAGACCAGCCCATGTCTGGCCCGAATTTTCTGGGCCCAGGTTGGGCCTGGGCTTGAACATATGGAAAAGTTATGGATATGGAAAAGTTATGGCAGGGTCCAGCCTGAATTATGTCTTTGAGACGTGGGAATGGTATGGATATATATTCCATACATTTTACTGAAAGTATATACAATTTATATAGTATAGAAAGGGAAGTATATACAATTTGTATATGGCCAATGCACTTTGTCCATACACATTGTATACAATCATATACTCGATTATGGAGTATAGGATGGTCAATTTTCAGGCTGGGCCAGGCTGCACGGGCACAGGCTTGGCCCGTGAACTGATAGCGCCAGGCTTGCAGGCATTAGAGTGTGGGTAAAACCCATCATGGAGGCCCGCAGGCCTGTTCGGCCTTTTGGTAGCCTTAGTTGGGGTTGGGGTAAATTACATTTTCACATACCATTTTGTTATAGGCAGTTTAAATACATACTGCTACCTATGAAAGGATTTTCTCATTATGTTTTGAACAGCCAAGTTTTAAAAAAATGTCATAAAATAAATTTTAAACTGTAAAATTACGATTGGGAAATTGATGAAAATACATCTAGCTTTGTAACTATTTAACACTTTCTCATGTTTGGTTTGATAAATTTCCCATTATAATTCAATTCTCACATCAGCTCCTTATGTAACTGTCAGACACGTGGCAATAATTTTAGAAACTTCATATCTTGCATTATAATTTAACCATCTATTAGGCTTTAATTTTCCTACCATTCATGTTCCATTTTTAGTTGTGATCAATGTTTCGGAAAACCGTAGGTGGCCGGGGGGGGTCTAGGCCACCCAACGCCGACGCGGGCGCCCAGAACCTAGGCAGCCCAATAGAAAGAACGATGTTTCGATAGTCTAACAATATAAGTATAGCTGTATAACACATAAGAGTTAGGGACTTAGGGCACATCAAATGTACAATACACAAGTCCACATAGCACACACTCCTCCATACTTCATAAGTCCATATCCAATTATCCATAGTTTGATAGTCCACACTCCACACATAGTTAAAACTTAAAATTTACCAACCAAAGTTACCAAACCAGTGAATCACAAATCCACAATACACAACCAAGAGGAGGAAAACAAAAATAAAAGAAATATAGTATATAGATTATAGACTTGAATACTTGACTAGTTTTTTTGGGTTTCTTTGGAGCAGTAGTCTTTTGGAGAATATATTCCTTTGGAGAAGTAGCATATATGCCTTTGGAGAGGGTTCTTCCAATAAATATCAATTAAAATGACACATATATGCCTTTGGAGAAGTAGCATTGTATCCTAACTTAATGCAGAAGAGTATCCATCAAGTCACCTTGCTATAGGAAAATAATATAAAGTCAATGCCATGAAGTTTGATGATGATTGAATAAATCATCATCATCCTTATCCCAACTATTTGGGGTCGGCTACAGGAATCCTGTTCCGCCATTCTGCTTTATGATGATTTAATAGATATCCTAATTAATTTAGAAGTTCTTTTTGTAAATGTATGCTTGCCTGTCATTCATCTTTGGAACTTGGTAATGCTTCATCTTTGGTTTCATCTATATAATTAAAGGTTTTAGGCGAGCCCATGGCTGGAGGGATTGTGTCGCTTCTTTAGGAGAGTGCCTGAATCTTATAGGCCAGAAAAACAAACATATATACATACTAGTATAAGAACATGAGTATATCAGAACATTGATTGGAATGGATTCAACCACATCTATGAACATACTTCTTTGATGCCCTATAATGGGCCTATTGGGTGCAAAATCTTGAGAATGCCAGCTGAGTAGGCTCAACTCATACTGGTATAAGAACATGAGTATATCTGAATGTTGATTGGAATGGATTCAACCACATCTATGAACAGGCTTCTTTGATGTCCTATAATGGGCCTATTGGGTGCAAAATCTTGAGAATGCTAGCTGAGTAGGCTCAATTCTCTGTCTTAATCTAAACCTATAGAGGCATGTGAAATTCTTTTTCGTCCTTACAGAATTCAACCTTCTCCACAAATTTTTAAATATTTTCGTTTTAGGCTATGGACAGTGTTAGTCAAATATTTTATAAAGAAAAAAAGGCTATGAGCAGCCTTTTTTGAAAGGGAATAATAATATATTGTTGAACAGGCTTTCACTGTTCACCGTATTCCCTATGGAAGTGAAACCTTGAGTCTTCCAGCTTATTTCCTGAACTTGTAAGAATAATATATTGGCTTATTTCTGTCATCACTAAAATTTCTTTCATTCTTCTCATCAATTTAAAAGAATTCTCTGTATATTCTCACTATAGACCATACGGCCAGACAAACTGAATTTTCTCATATCCTTCCGTATCGGGTTTCAAAAATCATCCTACGCAAACTGAAGCGTTTTGTTTGATTTGATTATTGTCTTTGACATGTTATTCCTGACTTTATGGTCCTCGGCAAAACTTAGAATAGAACTGTCATTTTATAATAATAGAACTTATGACTAACAACTTTATTTGCTATTTGATTGTTGGTTCTTCTCTCCATATTTTATAGTTCTTATTAATATTATGCTTTTATCTGTTTTAATGAGTTGGTGTGGGATTCAAAACTGTGCCTAGCCAATCAAAAAAAAAAAAACCGAGACTGTATGCTATGCTTGAATCCAGGGCACATGAGGCTGTAGACCTTTTTCTTAAACATATCCTTACCAGTGGTGAATTTGATGATGTATATTCGCGAGTTTCATCATGCTAAGTATTGAAGTACTTGAATAACCCTGTTCAACTTTTTTACCTGTACTCTTCATACTTCATTGATGGCTTTACAGAAACTGGGATCAATTTCAAACAAATGAAGAATTATTTGGTGTAAAGAGCACATTTGATGAGGAACTCTATACCACGAAACTTGAGAAGGGTCCTCAAATGAGAGAGTTGGAACGAGAAGCTACAAGAATAGCGAGAGAAATTCAGGGAGAGGACACTCAAGATCCTCATTTAGCTGAGGTAAAATGTGGTGACATCATCCCATTGTTGGTTATCAGGATCATTTGTTTCTAACGTTTCTGACACTTCCCTTTTCTCTTTATACTGCTTCATTCAACAGGAAAGGGGAATTCATCATCTCTTGGGAGATTTAGAGCTGGATGAGGAAAGCCGATTTTCCTCTGTGTTTAGGGGAATGGCAGATGGTGCCTATGAACAGGATGAAGACCTAATAACAGATGCCCACATTACCAAAATGTTTGGAGGTTCTTTTGATTCTGCTACAAATTCTCCTGGTTGCGTGGAAAACAGCTCTTACTTGACTGTAACTAAAAGGGTATCAACTGATGTAACCCAACTGTCATCAAGCTTTTCCCTTGGGGTACCGGTACGTACAAATATTATTTGCTTTTCATGGAAAGTTTAATGGACTATGCTTGTAGGGACATCTATTAACATGGGTTTTATTGTACAGTTCCTTTCGTTAACATTATATGCTTGCATGTCGATGTTGGGATATTCAGGGAAAATGTTTATTTTTGAAGAGGAACTGACATACCCGATTGGTCCATTATCGGATTAAGTCTTTAATTACCATGTCAATGTAATGAAGTTCTAAACTTAGTGTGGCTTTTATGGTCATTAAACCAACTCTTTGGAGGTTCTTGTGGTTGCATTCCTCATAAGATGGCTCTGTAATTGTTCTCTTGGTTGCTGGGGGTTGGGGCTGTGCAAGTATCCCTACCCAATTGCCCTATAGGATTTGCGGGTGGGAGGTGGGGGGATGATCGATGGAGCAGATGAAGTACGTATGGGAATGAAAGCTGGAGGAGGCTTCATGTGCGGAACTGATCAGAGGTTTGAATTCTGTGATCGTGAGAGTGAAGGGAAGAGCTGAGAAATGTTAAAGGTAGGGGTGGCAATGGGTCGGGTCCGGGTGGACCCAGACCCAGACCCAGACCCGAATGTATTCGAGTCCAGGATTTGGACCCGGACCCCACCTGTCGGGTCCAAAAGTTGGACCCATACCCGTACCCGTTTGATCCCAGGTTTGGTCAGGTCCATTGCCACCCTCACTATGAGCTTCCTTTTTTGTAGCCTACAATGGTGAACAATAGAGAACTAATTTTTGAGGGGTGGGCAATGAGAGAGAGAGAGAGAGAGAGAGAGAGAGAGATTCAATGAGAGAGCTATGTCTCCAAGAAACTGAGAGAGGGAGAATTGCAGGGAGGGTGGATGGCGATGGGGTTTGGCCGTTTGGGGAACTAGAGGAAGAGGAAAAGTGTTTAAACAATTTTAGGGTTGGGGCTTTGGCCTTTGGGTAAACTAAAAATTCGGGTCTGGGTACCCGCCCGGTCGGGTATAGCAGTACCCGTACCTGTACCCGGACCCAAGACTATCCGGGTATCCTTTATTGGACTCGGACCCTACCCGCAGGTCCAAAACTTGGATGCATACCTGGACCCGTGTCGGGAATACCAGGTGGGTATGGGTCAGGTCCGGGTCTGAGTCCGGGTCCATTGCCATTGCCACCCCTAGGTAAAGGCAATTAGCCTTGGGGGGTATCTGCAACTGCAGGGCTTTGCTTTGTGGTCTAATGGGGAGTTGACATTATGTTTTGAAGGGGCTTGCAAAGCAAAATTTGAGACCCTTCTTTCTTTGTTTGGTGAGTTTTAATCCAACAATAATCATTGTTGCATTTAGGCAGTGGATTTATGCTCATCAGAAGGTTAGCTGTTTCCGTGATGATGAAAGAAAGGTTTCTGATGATGTATGGAAATTTGGGGACATGAACAATTTGTTGTTGGCAAGGGCTTGGGGATTTAGTCTAGTGGCTTGAACATCCTTGGGATGAAGAGAAGGATTTGACACGGCTACTATATTGGATTCTCAATGGATCTTGAAATATGATATGCCGTTATTATTTTACTGGAGTTGTGTCTTTCCCTCCACTAGGTGTAGCTGTGGGAGATTTCTAAGACAGATCATGATTCTATTAGTATAAGGGGCAGATATGGGGGAGCTAGAAATCCATGGATGCATGGGAGAGGAACTCTTTTCTGTGTGGATTAATGTAGATAGAGAGAAGGGGTCCGATATTACCCAGTCAGTGGTAGCTGGGGAAGGTTGACTTGCTAGTCGTTAGGGATAATGTGGAGACAGGTAAAGAAGCTGAAATTTCCCAATCAGCAGTAGAGCTGGGTGAGGAAATGTTTGGATAGCTAGGGACCAACCTCTTGGCAGATGGTACAAGTTGGTACCAGTATGGGGACTGAAAAGGGGAAAATAGTTTCCCAATTTAAAATTGTTATTTCGCTCTAAGGAATTCTTATAGTGTTTCTCAAGCAATGTTGATATTGTGCTGGTGGGATCAAGGGAGTAAGTGGTACTGGGATTTGTTACTCTTGTTTTCCTTATTAAGTGGGACCAGGGCTTGCTGTATGTTGTCTGAGAAAATGACCATGGTGGACGCAGGTGTCATGTCTCATTTCAGCTGTGGAAACAATTCTTTCATTTTTCATGACTGGTAGTGGTTATTGCTATTGAAATATATCAGGCAGCATTGGAGAATTGAAGTTGGAAGGAAATGCTTCTTTTGCGAAGGAAACATTTTGAAATGATACATGGCTAGTGTTTGTTCCTTGGTGCTCGAGAGGTTCATGTTAATCTTTTGGTAGAGAGATTTATGCTAAGTTTTTGGTTATCATTAGATGGTGCAATTGGCGTCAATCTGGACGTCTAAGTGAACTTACTGTGAGAACCTCAACTAGTTGTAAAGAAAGCTCAGGGTGTTGATGTAGGAGAGGATTATTATCGTGGACAGGACTTGTGGGTGCATTTTAGAATATGGTACCAAGATCTAGTCATTTGAGGAGTGAGCCTCTTGGGCATTATAGTGCATGACTTCCTTGATGTTAGGATTGGGGAACTAGGGTTCCAAAGGGTTTTGATAGGGTTGATGACATTTGGGTAGTGTTTGTAGGTTGGCCGTGGGTGGATTAGAGACATTTTAGTGTTTAGAAAGGATTGAACATTAGACTAGGGAGACATGGAGTTTTGGGTGTTCAAGGATTTGGTTTGGATGAGAAGAGGCTAGTTATGGAAGGATATTAAGATGGGTTGTGAAGAAGATTTGTCTGGCATGTGGCTGGTTGGAGTAGAATGTGGCTGGTTGGTTAAGGGACGTTGGGTGCAATAGAGAATGCATGAGGTGGTGGGATGGTTAATTGGGAGAGATTAGGGTTTATGTGTTGGATAGGAGAAAGTAGGTTGGAAGCCCAGAAGATAGAAGGTAGAGAGGAAGGCCTGTTATGGTTTATTGTTAGAAGGTATGGAGGAGTATGTGTGGGTCCCAATAGGTTTATGTTTATATTTTTGGTTATTTATTTGGATTTTTGAGTTTTAAGAACTGGTTTCCTTTTGTATGGGGTTTCTAGAATATGGTTCTTTTTTTTTTTTTAAAAGGAGATCATGACAATATGTTTGTATTTCTATATAAAGTGTTTCTAAAAAGAACCCTCGAGGTGCGCAATAAGGCAGCCCACTGTGCTAGAGAGAGAGAGAGAGAGAGAGAGGGAGTAAAGCGGAGAGTATAAATAGGGAAAGAAAGATAGGGGAGTTGCGATATGGGGAGATAGATTGAGAGAAATAGAGAATGATGGAGGAAAAGATAAGAGGTTAGAGAGGAGGAGAGAGATATAGAGAGATGGAGAGAAAGAAGTAGAGAGATAGATATAGGGCGAAATAGGGGAGAGAGCTGCGGAGTGAGAGATAATGAGGAATAGGGGGAGATAGAGAGGAGTCAGAGATAAACGGAGATGGAAAGAGGGTGGTGAGAGAGAGGGGAGGGTGAGAGGTAGAAATAAGGTTAGAAAGAAAGAGGGAAGAGAGATGTAGAGATATAACGAGAATGGGGGAGAGAGGGGAATGGTGAGAAAAAGGGGGATGGTAGGCCTCCCACACTCTGCGTGCTCAATCCAAGAGGGGACCTGTATGGTCAGGAAAATATCCCGAAAAAGATAAAAGATAGTAGTGATATACATAAAGAAAGCCGAGAAAGCCAAAAATGCCAAGAATAAGAGATCTTTTCCTAGAAGATGGTTCTTATTTGGATGGCTTAGTATGTTTGAAAATTGATTGGATTCATTTATTGTTTAGGAGTGGTGGCGAAATCACTAGATGATTTGAGACCTAAGATAGAGTTTAGGAACACTATTAATGTGGGTGTAGGTCTGTGGTCAGCACAAGTCATTTTGAAGTATAAAATTGTGTTTCAAGCTTTGATGGTGTTGATTTTTTGTCCTCATGGTGTTGATGCCTGGATTCCCGATGGTGTTGATGCCTCAAGTCCTGATGGTGTTGATGCCATGAAAACGTAGGTTTGTTTAGCATTACCATTAAAATGAGTGAAATATGTGGGCCCCCTGTTTGAAGCATTACTAATCCCTGCTCCTACCAGCTGCTGGCCAGTTGTTTCCGTCCAGGCAATCTTTTCGTTGAGATGATTGGAAACAAAGCCTATGCACTTTTCATAGATACAGGACCCACTTTTCCACCATCATCCAGAGAATCACTTGTGCCATTATATCCTTGGTTCACTGAACAAACTGTTTAGAAACTTTTTGGCCTTGGATTTCTTTTTACAATGGCAGCACATTAGCAGGTCAACCCTTATTGTCATCTCTGGGTTATCCCTTGGAGGCCTCCCATCCTTGGAGTCCTCCCATTCTTGGAGTCATCCTATTAAATTTCGATGGTATGCTAACCCTGGCTCTGCGGTGGGTTGATGGGCATTGGTGGTTCATTTTGAAATGTAATGGGAGCATCATCCTCTCTTTCTCGAGGCCTATTAACTCTGCAGATGCCAATCTTGCTCTCTTGCATGGTCTTCCCTCTTCAATTGAGAGTCAGAGCACTCACACCTCTTTTTTTCGTTTTTTTCCCCCCGAATTGTTAACATCTGTATTAAGAGGAAGAGTAACTTAAGTACAAGAGTTTAGGCAACCCACAGACTGGGTGCTCTATACAAAAACCACCTTGGGATGCACTTGTCAAAAGAAGGGGGGGGCTCAGAAAATGCTCTACATCCAGAATGTTGACAGAATTCTAGATACAGCAAAAAAAAATAAAGGAACCAGAAGCTCAAAAAGGTACCAAAATGGTGCCCTGTGTGCCATCTCGAGTTGCTCAGGATGGATATGCAATGAAACCTGGGGGGTGGAGACATAAGTTAGGGATTCTATGTTCATTGCAAGTTACTAGTCATATTCCTATAACTCACATATTTCATGTGCAAAGCATGATCCATGTTGATTTGAGATTTCATGTCTTTAGTTAAGACTCCCTAGGTAGTAGGGTTATATCATATGCTGTGTATAATGTTCAAACCCAGAATTATAACTTGCAATTAGGTCTTTTGAATGCCAATGGTGGTATCCTCCTTGTTGGTTGTGGGGGTTGTGCGTGTGACATTCTCCTTGCTTCATTTAAGAATCCATAAGATAAAATTTTTTTTGTTTTGAAATGTTAACTGATGATGGATTATTGGGTCCATTAGAATTAGAATGTCTGTCCTCAACTAGTTTTCAACTGGTCGTTGGTTTATAACATCACCTGTGGGGTTACCCGTGTTTCTGGTTGTCGCCATCATCATGTTTCATCTTCATCATCCAAACCTTATCCCAACTTCCCAGCATCCTGTTCGCTTCTGTAAAATAGAGAAATTTGTTCAGATTAAACTCAGATTTGCTCATGAATATCGTCCTCATTACTCCTTCGTTTGTCAACTTTTTAATTACTTGGATAGCTCCCTTGATGACATATTTGTGGTGGTTCACCCCACAAAATCTGGAACTCCTACACTCAGCAAAAAAAAAAAGAAAAAAAAGAAAAAAAGAAAAAGACAAAAATCCCAAGCATCTTGGATTGATGCTTATTTTAACTTCTGTTATAGGTTCTACCTCTCTCTCGCTCTCTCTCGGATGACATGCTTTAAATCTAATGTAAGAGATTGACACTTTTTTGGGTCTTGTACAGGGTAGTGGTTTCCCATCTCGAATTTCTGCTAGCAGGAGGGTTAGTTCTTCTGGCGTAAATGAGAAAGATAGAATGCAAGCATCCTGTAGTGCTGCAGAGGGTGCCACAGGTTTTGAAGATGTCAGAAGGTTTGGAACTAATATTCCCATGTACTGCAATAGATGGCTCTATGTTACTTTTGATGGCTGAATATCGAGACTCTTGAATCTTGTTTGATGTTTGGTTATTAGTGTCCGTGACAATGAAGTTGTCCTAAGGCTAGCATACTTGTTGACATATGCAGTACAAATCAAGAGATTGACATCCGCAATAATTTAAATGACGGCCAGATTAATGAGCAGCCAAGGGTGAAAAGTCTCAATGAGTTCCCAGAAAGTAAAAGAGTAAGTTTTTATGGTTGTTGAAGTTGCTTCTGTGATATCCTATAATTTTCTATTTCCTTTGAACTTAAGCTCACAATCCCACGTAACAGTTTCTTCTTCTTTCTGTTAAAGTTTTCTGTTTAATGTGTGCACATTTTCTTGCCAGTTTTTTCTTCATTCACAATCACACTTAATTTTAGAGTTCTATTGGGATCTGTTGCTTTGGTTCCTGTTGACTCCTCTCAGTTTCTTTATGTTTTCTTATGTTTTGCTACTGAATGTTCTTTGTTTACCCTTTGCATTTTTATACTTACACTTTCTATTTTTGCAGGTATGTGAAGAGGGCCAAATTCCAAAATGTGAAGGTGGTTTTCTAATTAATCTTTTTTGCCATCTGTTCTTTGTACATCTGTTTACTTGTGAAGATGTTCAGTTATTCTATATGATTAAATGACACATAGACATGCTCTTTTGATCTACTTTCTTAGACTTTCAAAAGTCTGTTTTTCTTTCCCTCGGACGTTCAAGGTGCATATGAATCGGTTTCTGCATGCTTCCCTCAAAGACTTTACTTTGCAACTTCAGTTCTTTCGCGTACAGATTTCTTCCTGCATATATGACCAATAATAAGAATCTGCCTCCTCATTGAAGTTCACTTCAAATTCATCTAGGAAGTATGATTTTGTGATTGGCTTCCTTCTGATACTCTTTTGAGCATTAACATATTGGTTATTTTATGATACGTTACACTTAACTAGAGGTTTTCAACTTTCAATCATTATGGAACAAATTATTAGAGCACAGATTTAACTTCTATGTTTGTAATGAAGTATTCCAAAAGACATAAGAACATGTCAAGTCTTTCTTTATCTTAAGAAAATAACAAAGAAAACATATACGAGTCTTAAAATTTTCCATTACATCATCATCATCATCATCATTACTATCATAGTCTTTTCCCAATTAATTGGGGTCGGCTACATGAATCTTGGTCCGCTGTTCTGCTCTATTAAAAGGCCATACCCTCACTGATGCCATAAGTCCTATATTCTATAGGAAGAGTATGAAAGAATTTAGAGGCCAAAGAAAAGCATGAAATTTATAGTTCCTTACTTTTGATTAGAACTTTGGGCCAGTTCATGAACCCTCTGAATTCATGTACAGTGAACTCTTTGAAGAGTTCAATTGACTCCCTTCCTTGGATTTTTTGGATTATCTACTTCATGAAGTCAGATAGCTATTACTGTGATCATCATTTTCCAGTTAAACTAATAACTAATGAAGATTACTACTGTTTGTCTTACATATTTTAAAGATTGTACATGTATCCTATGTAGGATCGGTGAAAAGTTGTGTCTTTAAATTTATTATACTCCTGGGGTTCCCTCTTGAGCAGGAAAACCCCCGGTAAATTCTTTATTCTGAACTCTTGGGAGATATTCATTTCATTCAAAAATTAAACATGGGCAATAAGAGGAATATATCCTTTCCAAATTATTATATTCCCAGATTTGGTAGTTTGAGGATAGACTTGGGAATTCTTATACTTCAATTTTGAGGATAGGGAAATTCACTAAACAAACAAAATGTAAAAGATAAAAATAGGGATGGAGATGTCAATCGGACATCTCAGAACCTGTTACCTCTCTCCCTCAATAATGACTATGGGTACTCCTATGACGGTCCTTAACTAGGGAACTGCGAGGAAGTAATGTTAACCCACTCCTATCCTGCTCCTGCTCCCGCTCACAACAACTATGAATTAGCGCTTTCTACAATACATGAGCAACAGTTCATCCCATTTCCATCGCAAATTTAATCTTTTTTAACTTTTTCTTGTCACTAGAAATATTAAGTACTCATTTAGTTTCCGTGAATCATCTTAATGTGGTTCCTCATGGTTGTTCAATTTTGACAACCTTTTGGGAGAAAGGTCCTGGTGCACGCCTTATTTTCCTTTTCTGTTTATTGGTATTGCATGACTACTGATCAGATGTTTTCTTTGCTGCAGAGTATTTAAAAATATCGTTGACATTCAGAATTTGAATATTATGTGAGGCACCATAGAGTGTATTATACATATATACATACACACACACATACACACACAACCTTTTGGGAGAAAGGTCCTGGTGCCCGCCTTATTCTCTTTCTGTGTTTGTTGGTATTGCATAACTACTGATCAGGTGTTTTCTTTGCCATGGAGTGTTTAAAATATCGTTGCCATTCAGAGTTTGAATATTATGTGAGGCACCATGGATTTTATCATGTTTATTTCATTATGCTGTAGTTTATATATATATATTTATATTTATGCTATATTTATATTTAATATGCTGTAGTTTTCATTATGCTCTGCTTATATATATATATATATATATATATATATATATATTCATCAGATTTGGACTGGATCAATCACCTTAATTATCTGTAGTAAACTATCATTGGTGGATGCAGATACATGCTTATCAACAAATCAAATGAGACCTAGTTTGGATAAGGGTGCACTGTCTTCTAGTGCTGCTGTCTATTCTCCTTCACAGGCTTCCCCTGTCATGCCAACACAATTAAGTGGTCCCTTCGATTCTTCTATTTCTGTGAAGAGTTCAGAGGCTACTTCCTCTAAAGAAGAATGTTTGGGGACTTCAGCATCTGTAAAAGCATCTTCAGCTACTCAATCTCGAAATCTTCGGGCAAGACCTGGCAGTTCAACATCTTCCACTTCAGAGGGCACGGCTGCTGCTTCGGTATCAAGTGGTCCGGCATTGTCACCATGCTCATCCATGGGATCATTATCCTCAGAGAAATCCACCCTCAATCCTAATGCCAAGGTCAGTTGTATTTAAATGCATGGTCTCATGCATGTTATTTGTCTTTGTATGGGCATAAAGATTCACTCGATAAGGTTTGTCTGTTATGCCAAATTGTTTCCAGGAGTTTAGACTTAACCCAAATGCCAAGAGTTTTACACCGTCTTTTACTCCCTTAAGGCCAGCTGGTCCTGTGGCTGAAGCCTCTTTTTATATGCCCACTACAATGTCTGCTGTTCCTCATATGCACAGCCTCCCGATGGGCCTTGGGGTAAGATCTTATGCTTTTTTTCCTTTCGTGCATGATTTCCTGTTTTGTTATCATGGTTCTACTGTGTTTATTTTGGCACTGCTCTATTTCCCTCATATAATCACAAATGGAAGAAACCCAGAAAATCTATCAAATTTTCAAGGAATGTGGAATTTAGTATATGTGCTGACTTTGTAATTCTGATGGTAACTTCTTGTGGCTTGTGATTATGGTTTCTTTGTTAAATAAATCTGAGGAAAATTGGTTCCACGAATTCCCTGCGTTTTCCTCAGTTGGTTGACCTAGCTTTCAATAAGTCTTGAACCTAACACATGTCAATTGAAGTCTTCTTTGACATTATCTACTTCTCATGGGAAGCATAGGGACACTAAAACTCTTGTCATTTCATGTAGAAGAAGTGGAATTGAACAAGCTATTTCAGGTTGCTTGTGTGTATAGTAGAGTTCTGTTCTGGATATTTGATACCTTGAGCTACTATGCACATATATGGCTGTAACGCAGCTTCAACCTCCACTTTTTGTGGTTTTGCATATGATCTGAAGTATCAGACAGTCTATTGCCTTTTTGAAGTATTTGTGCATCCTAGATGCTGAGTATGATTTAAGTTTTCGACATCCCAGTGAAGGTAGTGTAGGCAACGAGCAAAGCAGCCAGTGGTAGCCAAGTCTTGTCAAAACCAGCAAACTAAGCTCGAAAGCAAGGAGCAACGTCTAGCACCGCACTAACGTGCATCCGTTTTCTTGTTTGACCAATAAACTAAAATGTCATGCCAGTTGATCATGGAAGGATACTTGTTGGCGCGCTTTAGTGGTATAAGTGTTTGGAGTGATGGTTCTGTACATGTTTAGTAGATTCGTATTTGGATATCTTATGCGGACTGGGTATTCTGGAAAAGATATACTCTCTCTCTCACACACATACACACACATTATCTTGGTTTTTGATTGTTGCATCTGAATTATTTTTCTATAGCAGTAACGTCCATAAAGTTGTTGACATCAACTTTATGATGCCTTGAACAAAAGTTTATTCCTATTAGTGGTTTTGATGAGGGGGGAGATGGGATGACATTGATTGATTCCTCAGCAAACCTCGAGGGCTTGAGCACAAGAGATGTTTAGGTTTCATTGTTCGGGTATTTATGGTGGCTGGTTATGATAGCATTCTCTCGATAAACAATCTCCAAAGATGTAGGTGGTAAATCCCGAATATTTGTTCCATTTGCTAGGAGGTTGAAAAATATGAGGACCAATTTTCTTCTACCTAGCTCCCGTGTCTGGGATTTAGGATCTATTCGTGCATTAGTTTGAGGTTTCCTAGCTCCTATTTGTTGCCTGAAAGAGGCTGTCTTCTCTTAAACCTGTAGCTACTGCATATCATTTTGGGTACAAGGAGAGAAACAAACAGGCTTCTTAACATTACCAATGTTAACTGTTTACAATTGAGGGAAAAAATGGGACATTTTGTGACTTCATAGGCCCCTGGCCTGACAGTGATTTTGTTTTAGAGCAGAGGTCCTTATTTATGAATGAAAGGTGTTTGCTGAGTGTAGCTTTTGTTCAATCCTTGCTTTCAAAAATGCAGGCTATGTCCAGGTCACTAAGGGCTTCTTAAAGTTCAATTTCCTATGGTGGCTTTTTAGGAATCAAGGATTGTTAGAGTGGGTGGCTTAGTTAGAGCTTCTGAAGTAGATTGCTTGAGACCTTCTTCTTGGTCCTTGTAACTAATTTTTGTTTCTATTGAGGCTGAAGCAAATGTTCTCATGACTGGTCCAGTCTCTAAGTTATCTTTCTATTAACCTTGTCCTTCCCCCCCTCCCCCTCCTCTCATGATGCAACAAGCTACTTGATTGATGTCACTAGATAGGCTCAAACATCCAAGTGTTCACCCTTGGACATTAGCTTCTATTGTGGAAGGGCTTTTCACGAGAGGGATGGGGGTGGTGTTCATCTCCTCTTCCTATATTCTCAGAGAAGTTAATAATGAAGGCCCCACTGGAAGAAGCTAATAGCTAGAAAAACTGTTTCTGGTCTCTATATGAAAGCACATAGTTGATACTAACTTATTTGAATTCCTTTTTACTGCGGTATACAGCCATCAATATGGATCAAATTGTGGCTATTAAACATCAGTTCTTTTGCAAGAGGGATTTGTTACTTCATTGCAGAAGGAATGTGCAGAATTGTTTAGAATATGAACTTTTATCCACATTTACTTCTGATATATCCGATTGGATTCCCGTACTCTACTTTGAGAAGTAGTTATAGAAATGTGTGTTCGATTATAAACTCAGCAATCAAATGATCTTGAGGAAGCCATATTTATTTCACCTTTCATGATAATTAATTTCTTTAAAAATTGCTGCCTAGATCTTGACATGATTGCAAATTTTGATTTCAACTCATTTATTTTACAGAACATACATATGCAGATTGGACCCCCTTTTGGTGGACCCCAACCACTTATTTATAATCCGCAGGCTGCACCAATGCCTTCGCCCCAGGCATTTATGCAACCAAATGGTTCTTTGGTATGTTACAAGTTTTCATTGCATCTACTTAAGCTTACCATGTCAGTTGACACTCGATAGTTTTGTCTCATGAGATGTAGAATGGTCCTTTACAGTATGCCATTTGTCGAAATATTTACTTATTGCTTGTGATTCTCTTTCTTTTGGTAGTATGGGCAGCAGGTGATTCTTGGTCAGCCTCGGCAAGTTGTGTACATGCCAACTTATTCTCCTGTAAGAACTCATACAATCTGCACCTTTTCTTTTATGGTTAAAATTCATTGTTTTCTTTGAAATAAAAACAAAGTAAGATCATCTTATGTGGTGTGCCAATCTAAGAGGAGCCACCGAGGTGACTACAGCTAAATTTTGAACATTATCAATTTCTGCAGGCAGTGTTGACAATCTGATAATGTAGATTTTCAAAATTAGACTTTCATAAATTTGAAAATGGCAGGATTGGCGGGATATTTAATGTTGTTGCTTCTGTCATGTGCACATTCCACAGTAAATTGTTAGCATCAAGAATATCCTTGCTTTAACCCTGGCCTCACATGACAAGTGATTAAATTGCCCTTTTGTGTAACAAAGAGGAAAGAAACCAATAAAAATGCCTTTGATATATATGCATGATATGAAACATCCTCTTCAGTGAGGATTTTCCACTTGAAGTCTTGGTCACATTTGTTGCATGATTTACACAAGCCTCCAAATCGCATATATACTTAAGCAAGAGAATCTATGTAAAGAAGAATCAAGCATTAATTGATATTTATGGAACACTTTTGAGTCTATAATCATATTAGTAGTGCTGGCATTTTATAGGAAGCTGTAATGGCCTGAATTTTTAGTTCTCCATCCACTATATTTCGATGGCAATATTTTTATTTATTTTTTGATTGGTTGCCCAGAAACTTTTTTTCCTACCAGGAATCGAGGAATCAGTTGTGTAATCGAACATTTTCTCCTGTAGTGAACTATCAATTGTTCCTTTCTAGATAGATTTCCGTTTTCATATTTATAAACTGGTTGCAGCTACATAATTAAATGCGAGATAATCAGATACATCCTACAACCAGTTAAGACTTTATCAAGGGCATGTTTGAATGAAAATTAAATTTATCAGGACTAGGCTATCTTATCCAATATTAATGTACTTAGCATAATATTATTTTGTTAGTTGCTTGAGACATACATTGTATTATTATATTATTTAATTATTTGACTTTTGTTGCATTTTTTTTAGCTATTTTTAGTTATTTCTAGTTAAAAACATATGCTTTTCAGCTAATTACTGTGAATAAACTAAATCCTACTTTTCAAAAAGATAAACTTGTATGTAAAACTGCCGGTAAGTTTATCTTTTATGTGGGATGCTACCAAACAACTGATAATCCACTATCAGGATTAAGTTTATTGATAGACTTGAATTATCAATGATACCCTTACAATATCTGTGCTTGTTATAGCACTTTTTTGGGACTCTGTAAGGGGTTTTTGTATTCGACCACCCGAGCTGTGGGTGCTCTTTTTTTTTGTACTTACTTTTAGCAATACAACAGTGTACAGGTTAAAATAGAAAGTGTACATCCAAACACACACTAAATGTATGAGGTCGTATTAGTGTTTTAAAAAATGGATCTGTGGGTTCTTCAGAAAAAACAAAGGATCTGTCCCATCCAGTGATCCCATTCCAGATCGGCGATCTGGATCAGCAGGATCGAAGATCTGGCCAATAAAAGAATTAAGGGAAAAAAATACAAAATTAATATAAGATATAATGTAAACACTTCATATCTAAAAAAGTATCATATTCTTTATTCTTTATTTCCATTGATGGATAGAAAATTAAGGGAATCTAGATAATTTCAGAATTTATCTTTGTCCTATCCATGAAAGTTAAATTGTTTTCAGAACTCTACTGTATGATGTTGAGTTATTTTTAAATCCCTTATTTTAAACCTATAAAAAATTAACAATTATAATTTGTTATTAAAATAAAGTGCAAGTAAAAGTTCCAAAACTCAAAAATTAGAAAAGCTATTCTAATCCTATTACATGGAAGGAAACCTTAGTAAGGAGAGAATCCTCTGAGGAGAGAGTGATGCAAGGAGGCTTTAGAGTGATGCAAGGAGGCTTTCCTACTTTGCAAGGAGAGAGACAGCTCTGAAGAACGATGATTAAATAAAATAAAATTAAGGGTGGGAAAGGGTTGAGTATGGGTTGGGTCCGGTTGGACCCAGACCCGACCCAGACCCAGACTAGAATGTATTCAGGTTCGGGTTTTGGATCCGGATCCGACCCATCGGGTCCAAAAGTTGGACCGATACCCAAAACCTGTCGGGTCTATCCCGTTGGGTCTTGGGTCTTGGGTCTGGTTGGGTCGATTGCCACCATCACTATGAGCTTCTTTTTTTTTTTTTTTGCCCTTTTTTATTATTATATACTCATATTATTGGCAACAAGGTCACAATCACCTGCCATTAGATTTCAAGCCGTTTGATTTATCGTTTAATAGCTAAAGATGATTATGAATTCTTATTGTATATGATCCTCAATACACCCAAACGAATAAGGCTTGAAGTATTTTATCTCCAACAGTTTAAGGGTACGAGGTTAGGTCCAACCGGACCCAGACCTAAGTCTTGGGTCCAACCGGACCCAGACCTAAGTCTTGGGTCCGACCCCCAAGCCCAAATGTTGGACCCATACCCGGACCCGTCTCGGGTATACCTGCCGGGTCCCGGGTCGGGCCCGTGTCCATTGCCACCCCTAAATAAAATGAATGGTTCTTATTGCATGATAATGACGTTTAAACAAGCATTACAAGATATTCTTTGAGTCTTGGTTTTATCTTTTTCATGCATTTCATCTTTCCATTATAGATTATTTCTTTCCTTTTAGTAACTTCAATCCAACATCAATGGATGAATCTTGTGTCTGGCTGGTGATTGACAGGAGTTGCAGTTCAAGGGCAGGGAGTTCTAAGTTTCTGGCGGTTGGTGCCGGCATGTATTGCCGTTGTATATATCATAATTTACAGTACTGTGCTGGAGGAAATGACCTCTAGATTGGTAATCTGAACTCAATAATAAACTTGTGTTTCAACGGCCACATTTTTTGGGATTTCATCAGTTCATTCCTATTGTAAATTAATGTCTTGTCTTAATCACAATCTCATATTTGTGTTTTGGGTTGTGCTTGTTCAATAATCGGTCTATTTGTTGTAACTGCTAACTCATGATGCATGATCGTAGTACTCTTTTGCTTCTGCTGCAACTTCAACAGATGGACAAGTTTCAAAGATTTGAGGTCGTTACCGATTTCTTTATCTGTGTAGTCCTATTGCCTCGTTCCTCCACATCCTTTCCGCGTGTTCTTTTGTAAATATATCATATTCTTCGAAACCATTAGAATCTCTTATTCGGAGGTATCAGTATCAAGACTGGACCGGACCAGAAGTTAGACCTGTCAAACTGCTGACCGGCCCTTTGCTGGGCAGACTGACTGCTTTTATTAGTTTCGAGTCAAATACAAATGTACATGGAACTTTTTTGAAGCCTTATTTCTGTTAATCTTTTAACGTGTCTTTCTATCTTGGTTCTTTCTATCTTGGTTCATCTTCTCAGAAAGATCCTTCTTTCCTCAAGTCCATTTCTTATAATTTTGTTATGTATTTTTATTTTCTAAGGTAACTAAGAACAAATTATCATTTTTAATTTGGGAGGAAGCTAAGAAATCAAAACCCACAACTCAACTATAGGAATACAAGTCTTCTGATTTTTCTTCTCTCCCAGGCTTCCAATTGCAAGAAATCGTTTCTAAATTTCTCTTCAAGATTTTTGCGTTTATAAAATTATGAATGCCATTTTATATTTTTAAAATTTTCATTTGTGAACTAATTTAAAATAACACTCAATAAAAAAAAGGGTGTAGTTTGTATAAGACCGAGGCCCTAAACTATCAAAGTAAAGTACACGTTCAAGTAGAATTGAAAATTGTGGTTTCAATAGTGGAAATATTTGTCAGAGCCTTAAAATATATTTTCATCTACATTTGTAAAATTTAAAGCTTAAAAATTAGTGTAGATGGAGCAGATCCATGAGAATCTTGAAAATTGATGGTAAAAAAATGTTACAAAATGCATTATTTTCAAAATTTGAAATCAATTTTTTTTTTATGGCCATGCATCTTGAGGTTGAGATGATCAATTTGTTGATCTTTGGACATCAAAACAACTTATTCTAGTGAAATTTTTTAGGTGTCTTAATTTGATTGATTAGAGTCTCACACTTATATAACTTTTTTCATAAAAAGAAAAAAAGTACTTTCAAACCATAACTTTTTAAAAGAAAAAAGTTTATATAGAGTTGATCCTCTAAACAATCAAATTAGAGCCTATCTCAAAAAGTTTACTAGAAGATGTTTATTTTGATACCCAAATATTCTCAAATTGACAATCTCGACATCAAGATACATGGACATGAGAAAAAAATGGATTTCAAGTTTTAAAAATCGGGTATTTTGTAATGTATTTTTGGACTGTTGATTTTCAAGATTTTTAAGTTTTCATAGATTTGTCGATCCATACTACTTTTTAAGCTTTAAATTTTATAAATAAAGATGAAAATATGTTTTAAGGCTATCACAAATATTTCCACTATTGAAACCACATTTCTAGACACTATTTGATGGTAGCCTCTAGATTTCCACTATTGAAACCACATTTCTCAACACTATTTGAAGTTAGGCCCTAATTTGATTATTTAGAGCCTTTGCTCCATACAAACCGCACCCTTTTTAAAATGGTGAGACTAGTACAATTGGGGTTGGTCAAAGTCACATTGATGTGAACCTGCTTTCCGTTGCATATCATTTGGATGAGAGACTTAAAGCAACCAAATCACCTTCTCCGCTGAAGGTCATGATGACTCTTGTATGCCTTTCTGTAATCTTGCAGTTCCATATGCACTAGGCTTGTTTTGTTGACACTTAGGCGCACCATTTACTGGTGTTAAATTTTTGGCCAAAACAAAATATCAACCTTTTATTGTGAGGTTAAACGGATTTATAGGCTTTTTTGTGGTGCTTTTTCGTGTAAAGGTAAATGTAATGGGCAAATACCAATTTGTCGTGGTGGTAGTACCCGATACCTGGTTATCACGTTGTGGTTTCCAATCCTGTTGACATTACCATGACACTACCCAATGACACCTTTAAAAAAAAATAACTTTCTAATTAAAATAAAAAAAACAGGTAGGGTATGTCTCTCTCACTGAATTACCCAAAAAAAAAAAAAAAAAACCAATATGTGAAGAGTTCCAGCCCTACTGGTTTAAGAAATAACCGGTTCAAGAAATAGAATTAAGCGGGTTTAGTGTACCCATAGCACAACTGTATGAATAACCAAAAAATTTCATGCTCTCTTGAGAGCAAACTATCTATTTACTCCATCGGGTAAAACCCAATCTAGGAGTATTTTCAGGACCTAAAACTTGGGGGATATAACGTTTTCAATCCATATACTAAATACAATTGAACCCACATGAAGCACAATTGAACTCACATTTTCTGTGGGCTTGAAAAAGATAATGCCTCAAGATTGAATAGAAACTATCTAATTTTTAAACGGTAAACATAATCGTCTCGTGAGTTTTAGGCAGTTCCCAAAATTTTGAATCACAAAAAACCTTCCCAAGTAAGTTTTATGCCCAAGGAAGTAACTATACAATATACTCCTGTAGAGCATTATAAACGCGCCAGCCTAGCACAAATAGTGTTGGTAATTTTATTGAACGCTAGATACATGCATGCATGGGATCTTAACTGATTCATGTGGGAGAATGATTCCCAGATTATAATACATCCTTTCTAGAATTTGAGTTTTGGCATACCTCTTTTAATTTAACAAAACTTTGCGCAGGAAATGGTTGTCTTTTATTGTTGGGAGTTTGGCGAAATGAGTCGTTGTTGAAGCAATGGAAATATGATTCTTTTCGTGTTCAAGAGATTGTACAGCAATGTCTCTCTGAACTGATTAACTTGTCGAATCCAGTTTGTATCAGTTTGTGGAGAAGCTGGTTTTAAGAAATTTGAAGCTTTTAAGCTTTCTTAAACTTAAATAAGGACATACGGGTCATCTTATATTGAACTTGAAGTTAGAGATCTACATGCATTCTGATTAACTAAGAGTGCTCTCTCTCTCTGTGCGTCCTCACACATGCGTGGGTGTGTATTGGATATGTTTGAAGATGCATCCGGTCCATCTTCTGATCCTAGGAAGGCTACTTAAGCCACGACTGTTGTTGGTACTTCATAAAGGATGAGGGAAATAGAGGAAGACGAGGAGGAGGAAGCAAATTCACAACAAATTGAGGAAGATGATCAATATGTTGAAGAGGAAGATGATTCTGATGATGGTGGACGCGATTCAGATGGAGGTGCAAGTGACGATAAAGATTTTAATGATGAATAAAGATAGTGATTAAATCATTGATTTGAAGAATTGAAGATCTCCTCTTCTTTTCTTTTGTATTTCATTGCATCACTTTGTAATGGTCTTAATGGAGACTTGAGTCTCTATGATTATATGCCACTATGTAGTATGGAGAGTTGAAGATTAATACACTTTGGACTTGTTTATGTTTTTAACTAAATTTTCAATGATTTGAAGTTTTCAACATTCATAAATATATTTTTGCAAAACGAAGTTAGTTAGAATATATACAAATGCAAAAATACAAAATTGACATAAATATCTACATTTACATGCATTTGTACAGCACATAAATGCACATTTTTTAAAATTTCTCACCTCAACGCGCCTGAGGTTCTCGGCTCCGCCTAGGCGCTGGCCGCCCTATTCCAGGCCTGGGCCTAGGGGTCGCCTAGCATTTTTTTTAAACCTCGTAGACTGTGATCTCTATCACAAGAAGTTTTTTTCTTGTCATTATCCCATGGTCCCAAACCCGATTCCAGATTTGAATTGATCCCAACCTCCATAACCATGGTTCTTGCATTGGATGAGCCTCTTGGGAACCACCAAAGCCGATGAACCAATAGCAATGCTTTATCAACTCTTTACAGCTACTGGTCTTGTTGGGTGGTAACATTTGACAACTAACATTTGCCAAAGGGCTGAGTTAATAATTCTTAAGGCATCGAATGCTCAGCTCTCCAAGGAAATTCGCCTACAGATTGTATTCCACTTTATGAGATGGACTATGAGAGTACCTCCCTCCCCATTCCAAACGAATTCTCTCATTAGTGTTTTGAACTTGTTTGCACTGAGGTAGCCAAACTTGAAGCATACGACAAAAAGCCAAGTCTATCAATCTGCAGGGATTGAGCCTATTAAAGACAAGTGTATCGTCAACAAATTGAAGATGTGATATGATCCGGCCTCTCCTTGAGGTAGAGAAGCCCGTGAGCAGGTCATCTTGCTTGTATAGGTTGAAAATAGAGCTCCTGAATATCTCACCAATGATAGCTAACAAAAATGGGGAGAGATGATCCATTGGCACAGCCCCCTTCTTGTTGGGAAGAAGTCACAAGGACTACTGCTTATTAGAACCATAAATGGGCAAAGGAAATAAATCCAGATATCCATGATTCTTCATTTATGTCTGAAATCCATTCTGAGAATTTGTTGGTTGAGGACCTTCCAATCAATGTGATTCTATGCCTTTTCTAGATCAAGCTTGAGGATAAGGCCAGGACAGTTGGATTTGTGAGTGATAAGCTCTACATAAAGAATCTGCCGATCTCGGATGAAATCCCCTTGCAGTGCCGAGAGAGTTTGGTTAAGCACCAGCCTTAGGCGGGAGGTGAACACTTTCGATATCTTGAGTGATTGGAGTATTGCAGAGGCTTTAAAACTGTAGACTCTAGGCTTGTGGCTGCATGGAAGGAACCCTGTATTCTATTATGTAATCCCATAGGAGAAATGTTTCTACAGTGGCAGAGGCTTAGTTTATTGGTACCGGATCTCATTGAGCCAATCTTTGTTCCCCTTGCTTGTGGACAAGGACTGCATTAATGTATCAGATGGACGTCAAAATGTAAAGGACACGGTTTCTATGCTGCCATCCCGCATATTGTAAAAATACAAGCTTAGCAATAAATATATTTTTTAAATATAATTTGATCTTAATTTTTAGAGAATATATAATCTTTAACATAGAGATCATGAATATATAAAAAAACAAAATTTTAAAAACGAAAAATAATAATTATACTAGAAAATATTTGTACTGTCAATTACACTTGTTTTTAGATGGACCACC